TTAGGAGCGTTGAAATTATAAATAGCGCATCTATGTAAAAGGTGTGTTGAATAAAATTTGTTTCCAAGAGACATCACACCTATATGATAACAACTGTGCATTATCGTTTTCGTCTGATATTTCGGCGCAGATAGAAAGAAGTAATCTTTGCAGAAGTATTCGATGTCATGATAGTAACTGTTCCTTATCGTTTCCGTCTAATATTGGGCAATGCTCTGCTTCATTTTCGCACGTACTTTCACTGTGCAAAAGGGTTTTTAATTCGACGCAGGTAGAAAGAAGTAAACTTTGCAGAAAGATTCGATTTCGTGATAGTAACTGTGCGTTATCGTTTTCGTATCATATTGATGGATGCTTCGCTTTATTTTCGCACGTTCTTTCACCATGCAAAAGGGTTTTTAATTCGGCGCAGGTAGAAAGAAGTAAACTTTGCAGAAAGATTCGATTTCGTGATAGTAACTGTGCGTTATCGTTTTCGTATCATATTGATGGATGCTTCGCTTTATTTTCGCACGTTCTTTCACCATGCAAAAGGGTTTTTAATTCGGCGCAGGTAGAAAGAAGTAAACTTTGCAGAAAAAAGTCAATGTTTTTTTGCATATCCGGCATCCTCCGGCAAGAACATGGACTATTGCGTACGAACTTATATGCCATTCAACGTCTCGCGGTTTTACACGTAGTTATATAAACATAAACTCTCTGTAAAGGATCACGCTCTGTCAATAGCGATTGTTATTTGCCTCTTACTGTTTTCATATTAAATCGCTAGAGTCTTGATTACTCTGATTTAAATTGTAACGTCAAACGTGTCGTCAAATTCACGTCGATATAACTGATTGAATTGAGCGGAACTCTCAAGGATCGTTTTATCCGTCTGTCTTCCACGATGGACGTCAAATCCAAGAATAGAATGTAGGGAAAAGTGAAGGATAATGTAAATCAGTTTCTCAGTAAAGAAAGTAAGTAGTAGTATTTATTTTTCTATGACTGTATGATATCATTTGTATATGATTATATCTAATATATTTTAAATAAGTATATTTTAAATAATCTAATATATTTTATATAAGTAAATTCAAGAGGAAAAAATCTGCGCAAAACATGCAGAACCCAAAGTCTGTCGACGTCGAGTCTACCAGAATAACCAAAACAAAAACTCGCGCGATGGCTATCGCAGAGGCCGAAGCAGAAGCGAAAACTTCTGATAAAAATTATAGCTCGATAAATTATAGCACAGATATTAGCTCGTAAGTCGCCATAATAGTATATTAAAGGAATCTTTAAATATCAACGATATTTAAAGATTGACATTAAATATTATGATATTTCATATTGCGGACGTGATGTTGTGTCATAACGATATTACTGTATCAGACGATCGAACATATTGTATGCATATGAAAATGTGGGGGCGCATATTTCATATTTCATACGTTGTGGACGTGATGTTGTGTCATAACGATATTACTGTATCAGACGATCGAACATATTGTATGCATATGAAAATGTGGGGGCGCATATTTCATATTTCATACGTTGTGGACGTGATGTTGTGTCATAACGATATTACTGTATCAGACGATCGAACATATTGTATGCATATGAAAATGTGGGGGCACATTGTTCATTGCTACAAATGTTCATACAACAATATGTGTAACGTACGTTTTGTTCGATGATGTTCAGTGTTCGCTACTTCTTTATATATAAATATTGTACCTCTGCTAAGAGGAGATTAAAGCCTTTTGTAGTACGCAATTGGGGTTATTAGAGAGTCATTATGTCGAGATTTTAACGCAACTACTGCACGACTACTACTAATTCAAATAAATACTAAATTATTTCACATTATTTGTAAGATACATATATTATTAATTTTGCCGACTTCTTATTGAAGACTCAACGTTGCGATGAAGTAACTTTCGTAGACATGACTCTGCCTTTGTTCATTGCGGTTGAACGCATTCACGATGGCTTCATTGCTCTTCTTAAATACATTTTCTTACTGAAATCGATATTACCGTAATGTATTAGAACGTCTTGTACGACATCCTTCCAGTGATTCAGAATAAAAATCAATACGTAAAATCCATTTTCTATCCGAGCAAGAATGTTCTTTGCACCTCCATAGATGTTAAAGAATAAGTCGATAAATGCGTATAAACCGGTATCTACAAAAACATAAAATTACTAAACTTAAGTTGACGTGATATAATATATCATGTGCACTCTCACGTCTTACATAAGGTAAAGTATTATCCAATTTGAGATATTCTCTGTACGTTTTACCACGGGCTTGCAATTTGTAGTAAACCTCCAGAATTAAAGGGTCCAACGCCTTGCCGTACAACAATTGTCGCTCCTCTTCTAGAATTTCTCTCAAAACCTCGATGTCTTCTGTCTCGATTTCGACTTGTATCTGTCTCATACCGCCGCAAAGTATCTTCGTAAGACCCTAAAAATAGATGTTTGTTTCATGAACAAAGCTTATGTTTGGATGTCTACAATCGATATAAGCAGTTACGAATGTCTCGCGGTCTTACATGTAGGACATGTAAACATAAACTCTCTGTAAAGGATCACGCTCTGTCAACAGCGATTGGTTGTTATTTGCCTCTTACCGTTTTCATATTAAATCGCTAGAGTCTTGATTACTCTGATTTAAATTGTAACGTCAAACGTGTCGTCAAATTCACGTCGATATAACTGATTAAATTGAGTGGAACTCTCAAGGATCGTTTTATCCGTCTGTCTTCCACGATGGACGTCAAATCCAAGAATGGAATGTAGGGAAAAGTGAAGGATAATGTAAATGTCAGTTTCTCAGTAAAGAAAGTAAGTAGTAGTATTTATTTTTCTATACTGTATGATATCATTTGTATATGATTATATCTAATATATTTTATAAATCTTAGGGAAAGAGAGAGAGAGAGTAAACTCAAGAGGAAAAAATCTGCGCAAAACATGCAGAGCCCAAAGTCTGTCGACGTGAATGAGCTTACTAGAATAACCAGAACAAAAACTTGCGCAATGGCTGTCGCGAGGTCGAAGCAGAAACGAAAAATTCGGATAAAAATTATACACAGATATTAGCTCGTAAGTCGCTCGCGAAAGCTAAGAAGATAGCTCGCGCTGCGGAGGAGAAGAAGAAATACAATGAAGAATCCAAAGAGGTAAAAGCATCTGTATATGAAAAATTACATTTCGTAATTATTGTAAGAGTTTGATATTTTCTAATGATTATGTTTCTTTCCTTGTTTCGTCCTGTTGATGCTCTCTAATAATGAATCAATCTTTCTTTTCAGAACAAGGAGCAAATGCCAGAGCGAATCAGTAAACTTATTAAATATGGTATACTGAATGCAATGCCACAATTAAAAACAACACCTCTGAACAAACCGAAACTCGTAACTCCAATGTCTGCAACTCGTCTTCAAACTTCGTCAAGCACACAAAATCTTGTAAATGTGAGAATAATTTTTTATTTCATTTTTTTGAGTATTGATCTGAAAACGACTACTTAACGTATACTTTGATTTTAGCATGGAAAAACTTTAACCGCCTCGCACGCGAATATCGTGACTACTATGGAGTCATTTGTTCAAATTCCAAAGACTGCCAGTAAAAACAACTCTGCTGACAAATTAGAAGATAAAAGACGACACGAGGAAAACGCGATGAAGAAGAGAAAGGAAGCTTGAGATTACTGATGGAGGGAAGGAGAAGGTACGGGCATATAGTAATTACTAAAAAAATAGAGTTGATATTGAAATTATAATATAGCTTTCACAGGTTTTTTTTTAATTATTCACAAATGATTATTGTACATATTTTATATATGCATTTTACATATCAGAAAGCGAGAAAAGAAGAACAAGTTAGCCAGAGAAACTAAGGAGAAGCAGGAACGACAAAAGGCCGAAAAAGAAAGAGAAGAGGAAGCGGAACGTTTCGCCGGAAAAAAGAGAATATGAAATAAATTTTTCTATCAGCAACTTTAAGCCATAGTAATTTGTAAAAATATGGTGAAATATATACATTTTTCTTTTTTTATCCCATATATGAAATGCACATATGTATTCAATGAATGCTGCAAACAGATATTCTGATCTTTTGTGATTCCTGTTATAACTATTATGTTAAGTTATAACAATAATAAATATATATTGAAATAATATATATATATATATAAGAAAAAATAAAATTTTCAATTAACTTTCAATTAAACTTTCTATTTCGTCTTTTTAAAGTAAAATATAACATTTTTGCATATAATTTAAGCTGGTATAAAATAGAGTTTACTTTTCTTGTTACTTTGGTTGTTTGAGATGTAGTAGATTAGTAATTGTAACACTTAGGTAAGGTGACATATATTGAAAATTGCACTTTAGTATTTTTAATAATCAATGTTTTATTTTGTATCTGTAATTTAAATTTACTTTTTAATATATTTTTTGTGTATTTGTACTTTTAAGGAGAATGGCACATATATAATATATATGTATATATATATATATATATATATATATATATATATATATATATATATATATATATAAAATATATATATTAGGTGCGCAAT